AGACGACGTCGCCCGTGGCGCCGGCCTGCAGCAGCAGCCTGACCACCTCGCGCCGGTTGTACGTTGCGGCCGCAATCAACGGCGTGACACCCGACACGAGGTGGCGCCGGTTCGGGTTCACGCCGGCGGCGAGAAGCCGCCGGAGGGTCTTCAGGTCGTTGACGCGGGCGGCCTCGAGGAGGGCGAGCTCGTCCGAGAGCGTGTGCAGCGGCGGCCCGTTGGTCACCTCGACCGCCGCGCGGAGCTGCGACCGCAAGTGGTACATCACGTCGTGCACGGAGATGCGCGCTTGCGGCGTCGGGGCGCGGATGGTGAGTGCCTCGAGGATGACCGCCGTGTGGCACCCGGTCGGCATCGTCCGCAGGTACGAGTGGTGCATCTCGAGCACCACCGCCTCGATCGGGTCCGCCGTGCCGGACTTGGCGTACACCGCCAGCCGCGCCCGCACGAGAGGGCGCGGGCAGTGCCAGACCCCAGAGTCTGTCTTCAGGCGATGCTGCTCCGCCGCCGCTGCAGCGGCCGCCATAGCTGCGGCCGCCGCGGTGGCGCGAGGGACGCCCATCCCAGCCGATGCCGCGAGACGCCCCTCTCGGTCGATGCCGGACAGCGCAGGGGACTCGTCGGGCGAAGCGGCCGCCTCCCCGAGCGTCGCCGGCTCTGCATGCAGCTCCATCGTCTCGCGGAGCATGGCGTCACCCGCGCTCTGGTCGTCTGCGCCTTGGTCGCCAGAACGGCGGCTCGGATCAGAGTGCTGCAGGTGTGCGGTCGGGTCGACCAGCTGCCGCTTCGCGGCAGCGCCGTCGGTCGGGTCAACAAGCTGCCGCTTTGCAGCCGGGTCAAAGAGCGGCCGCTTCGCAGCCGCGTCGTCAGGACTGGTCGGAGGCACGGTGACAGAGAGCTGCCACTTTGTGGCCGCGTCCCCCCGGAACTCGGCGGGGGGGGCGGACACCTCCATACACATGTATACTTGGGGCGTGGAGACCCAGGCGCCGTTCGCACAGCTTGACGTGAATGACTGGAGGGGTTCCGAAGAAGGAGTGTCCGTGCGCCCTCACAAATCCAAACAAGCAGAGAGAAGTGGTTTTCACCTCCTATGTGGCGACCGGCGTGCCGCACACGCATGCACACAGAGCCTGTACCACTGGCAGTGCGGCACTGGCGAAATTGGAGATGTTTGTTGATGGGAACACCTCTACTTCCGCACCAAAACCGCCATGGCGAGATGGCGACAGGTGTTCACACTAACAGTCCACGGGCGTGTCATGATTGCAAACGCGATGGTCTACTCGAGACCTCGCTACTGGATGCAGGTCATGGCCGCCCCCAGGTGGTTTCATGACGCTATCGAAAGCGATGTGCGCGCCCTACTCTGGTCAAAGGATCCCACCTTCGACGGGGACGCCATCGGCACAGACAAAGACGGCCAGCCCTGGATTAGACGGGAGGCGCTGTCGCTCCGTAGACAAATAGACGAGCACGGGAACGGGCTCGGCCTCGCGCTCCTAGACTGGCCGAATCACGTTCGTGCTCTCCAGACCCACGCGCTACTATCCTACCTCGACGCCTCGCAGGCGCCCTGGAAGCTAGTACTCGATCAGTGGTTCGCCCGCTCTCACCTTCGTAGGGGCGCAGTACTCGCCGCTGTGCAAGAATGCGACCTGTGTCGGCCCCGCACAGAGGGGGCGCCGCTTCATCTCCCCTCCTTCTGGGTAGATGCACTCGACAGCATCCGCTACCTGCACCTCACTCCCATCACCGGAGCCCTCTCGAGAGAAGGCGTGCAGTCGATGCCGCTGTGGGATAATCTCTTCTTTAAACTCCCCCAGTCGGTGCAGGTCTTACAATTCCTGTACCCCCCCCCCCCCCACTGTGAATGATCACAGCGGACCCCTATTCACACCTAGACACGGAGGCACCTCTCCACGTCCGCAGCCGGCTCCGCTGCTCTGCAGGCTCCGGATAAGCCCTGCCCACGGCTCAGTCACCCTTACCTCACTCGGGATGCCAACACTAACCCAACCGCCGAGATCGACCCTATGCAGGCGACCAGGCGCAAACAGACCTCGGTCTGAGGCGCGCTACACCGCCTTCGGCACTCGCCCTCGCCCGCGAGCCCTCGGACGCGCCCCACCCGCGCCCTCACCAACCAAACCCCTCGCCTGAATTTGAAACCGCCAACACGGCGGATATCACGCGAGATCTAGTCAGAGCTGACACACAGCTCCATTCACACCTCGCGACCAGAGGCGACTACCACCCTCGACAAATCCCCGGAACCCCACCATCGCTCGCCTACCTTCCGCGTACGGCGACACCCCGAGACGCCACCTCGGCAACACCCCAACATCGGCAGGAAAGATTCACACCTCGACGGCGCTATAACGCCGCCCCACCCACACAGACTGGACAGGCCTGCTCTCGGAGAGGGGGGCTAGGGGGCCAAATCCACGGCCACAACCCCCTAGAGGCAATGGAGCTGAGAGAAGGCGCTCGACTGCAAGGGTAGCAGAGCGCCACTCCTACGCCCACGCCCCCTCAAAGACGGCAGAAACAGTCACACGCAATTAGTACATGGCCCAGCTCGCGCCATCGCCCACACTCGAGCTTTGCAGCGCGCGGGCTCACACTCTACTATAGGCCCCCTCGACGCCCACTTCGAGCTATACTCAGCTAAGGGCCGCACTTGACGCTGTCAGCAGCGCGCGGCGAAGCAGTTTGGCGCTTGTGGTGAATCAAATGGGAATCTAGCCCAAGGTCGGAGAGTCGTGTCATAGGAGAGGAGAGAGTGTGGAGATGTTTTGTGCGGGATCAGGCCCGAGTCCCTAGTGTCGCCGGAGCAGTAGCTACCTTTTTCGTAACAGGAACAGTTTTTTTTTCACAAATATACCGGTGTCTAGCACATGCACATGTAGAGATCTCGATGTGTGTCACTCTGCACCCCGCCCCGTCTGCACACGCTCCCACAAGCCCAAAAGCTCTGTCGTGTCGTCGGAGGCCGCGCCGTACTCGATGGTGGCGCGCTCAACGGACGCGGCGACCATCGCTCGCACCGCCTCGGCGCGCGCCGCGTCGGCCGCCAAGAAGGCGCGGTCGAGCCGCCACTCGAGCAGCGCGCGCAGGAGCTCGCCCACCGACTCGTGCAGCATTAGCAGCCCGCACCGCAAGTGCCACGCCCACTGCGCCGCGAGCGCCTCCCACGCCGCGCCAAAGAAGGCGAGCGCGCTCTCGAAGCTCACGCCGCCCCCGTCGCGCAGCGCGTCGAGCAGCGCCGCCTCTGCCGCCTCTGCCGGCCCAGCCGCCCCCGCGGACTCGGCCACCTCCGCGGCCGTGTCGAGCCAGTGGTCGAGCTGCAGGTCGCGCAGCGCCATCGGCACACAGTGCGCGCCGCCCAGCACCGCCTCGGTTGCGCGGATCATCCCGCCGATGCTGCGCAGCGTAGGGTGCACGCCGCCGCGCCGCCTGCGCGCCTCGCCGCCGCGGCCCGGCAGCAGCTGGTGCAGCAGGTTGTGCACTGCCTCGCCGAGCTCCCGCTCCCAGCTCAGCAGCCCTCCCGGCGCGAGCCGCAGCGGCCACTTCCCTCCCCCTTGCCAGCCTGCACTCTCCCCGCCTCCACTGCCTCCTCCGGCTCCTCTCTCCCCGCCTACACCGTCGTCGCCTCCGCCGCCTCCTCCTCTCCCTCCTCCGCTCCCTCCACCTGACGACGACGCGTCTCCAGGGGGGGCCACTCTGATCGACTCGAGATGCGCCTGCTCATTCGGTGCGAGGGAGAGACGGAGGCGCTCCTTGACGATCTCAGACTCCCAACCGAGGCCCTCGCACACATAGTTGCCGTCGACGCCCTCCGCCTCCGAGAGTGCCGCGTAGGTCTCGATGGATACGAGCGGGTCCGGCGCGCGGCACGGAATTGTCTCGGAGGTGTCTTGGAGGTGTCTCGGAAGTGTCTCGGAAATGTCTCGGAGGTCCGGCGCGCGGCACGGCACGTCGACCGTCGCAGAATCAAACCGCCGCCCACACCGCGAGCACACCCACCACCAGCCGCCCTCGCGCGCCTCGTCGCCAGGCCCCTCGCGCGCCTCCTCGCCTCCGCCTTGGCTGGCCGCGGGAGAGTGCAGCAGGAAAGCACCGCCCCCCGCCGCCCCCTCCTCCTCGCCCACGCGTGGCACCGCCAGCGCGCCGAGCAGCAGGCCTAGAAGCGGAAGACGTCCTCCACCGAGCGCTCGAGAGGACATGTAGCCTGCCGTCGGGCCCCGCAGCCTGCCGTGCCCCGCGTGCGCTCAGCACGTACTAGCAGGCCTGTCGCGCCGTCGCGCGGAGCGCACGCGGGGCACGGCAGGCTGCGCATCACGTCGGGCGCGGCGCAGTCTTCGCAGCGACATCGGAAGCCCTTTGTGCGCATCAGAAGCCCCCTCCGCAGCGGCGCAGTGCAGTGCGCCCAGACACCGAGGTACGAGATCGTCAGCACGTCGCACTTTGCGATTGGGCGCACGGCGCGCACGTGGAGCCGGCCGCCCTCGCCGTGGAAGACGCTGTTCGGCCGCAGGCAGCGGTGCGTGAACTTGCTCGCCAGCCAGAAGAGCGTCGGTGCGCCGCCGGTGACGCCGTCGGCGAGGTGGCCAAAACAGTTGAGCGTGAACACGACGCAGGCGCGGGCGAGGTCGGCGGCTCCGTGCTGCCCGCTTGCGGCGGCGTCATGCGTGCGCGCCCAAGCGGCGCACCGCTCCGCGTCCAGCAGCATCGCGTGGCCGGGCTCGCAGCACTCCTCCGCACAGAAGCCCTCAAGCACGCGCCGCCTCACCCGCTCTCCCGCTCGAACAAAGGCGTGCAGGATGAGGAGGTCGTCCAGGTTGTAGTCGCCGCTGTCTCCCGCCTCTTCGTACCGCACCCGCGCAGCGGGGGAGAGGGACGACGCACTGCTGGCAACCAGCAGCGGCGTGTCGCTG